CCAGATGGGGCTGAAACGAAGCAAAAAAGTTGGCTCTTGAGTCCTCGCGTGAGCCCGCCCCGGGCGGACCTGCGGGCGGGCGGGTGGTAGCCAAGTCACAGCTAAACTCTGTGCCGGCAGGCCCGGCCTGCAGCGCGTTTCCGCACTTGTGCCCACGGGGGCGCAGCCCCGTCCTTTTCCTCCCGCGACGGCAGCGAGCCCTACCAGCGCGCACTCTGGGACCCTGCAACCCCCGCGCCTTGTCCGCCCAGCCCAGAAATTCACGGCGAGAGTCTCGAGGATTTCGAATCTGAATGCCGACGCGACCCCGACCCTGACCCTAACCCCAACAGATTTCAGACGCCCCCTCCCACGCTAGCTATCAGCAAAGCTGCTGCTTGAGCTCTGCAACTTTGGACGCCACTCTATTACCCTCCTCCCCTTGTTCTCAGCCGCCTGGCATCCAGCCAGAGCACACCGACCTGAGTGAAAGAATGCTCTCTTGGCACTTAGCTTTAAATATCCATATTTTTCCTCCCCCCTCAGGTCCCAACACCCCTATCTACCCAATCCCGGCCAGCACTATGGAAGGTGAAGCCCTGCGCCCAACTCGAGAGGGGGCCGGGAGGCGTCCGGGAACCTCCCGCCAGGGGAGTTTGCAGGAACCGCACCTGAGGGCTGTGTGGGCCGCGTCTTCCACGAAGCTAGTTCAGATGCGGTCTGGGTGGGCTTTAGGGGTCGTTTCCTAACTGGAATCTTCCATATTTGGCTCTTGTGTCGTGTGCTAGGTGAGAGAGGAGTTAAGTTTACCTTCTTTTAGACAAGTCCAACAACGTCAAGATTTAAAAGTTAAACTGCCAAGAAAGCACTTATTCAGGAGTGTGCGCTTTGGCTGGGGGACGCACGGCTACAAGACTGCAGTGACGGACTGCCTGCCTTCTATGTCAGGGCGCTTAGGGTTTTTCTTCCTAGTGAAGCAGGACTTGAGTACAATTTTTAATGACTTACTAAGCGAACTCATCAAAGTCTTGAAAAAAAGATGTTCACAAACACACCAAGTAGCAACAGATTTTTATGAATGTCATTGCCTTGTTGTTCTTAAGTACTGTCGAGTCGGTTCCGACTCAGGGACACTGTGTATGGTTTCCTAGGAGCAGATGGTGGGTTTCAGCCTCCGACCTACTGGTTAGTCCAGTACTTATCCCATTAGCGGCCAGACGGAAATGTTATATTTCAACTACTACAGCAAAAACATCCATTTTTATTATCAATCACCTTCTGTGGTGACTTTTGGAGGTGGAATTAGTCGTGTGATCATCTTAATCTTAGCTTTCTTTGGAAATGAAAAAGATAAATTTAATCTCTGCGTCCACTGAATTACTGGAAAGGAAAACATGTAAAGATATATGTTTAGAACTTTGTTGTTGTTAACTGCCGACCCATAGCAACCCTGTATAAGGTTTCCAAGGAGCAGCTGGTGAGCTTGAACCACCGACCTTGCAGTTCAAACTGACTTTGCAGTCTGACGCATTAGCCCATAGAGCCACAGAACTTTGGGACCAGCCAAATCACTCTCATCTTCAACATTCTATTGGCTTTAACACCAAAAAGACACTTAAAAGTTTAAAATGTTAGCAACAGACCTCTTTAAAGGCTTGAAAGGCAAAGAATGGGGAAAAGACACAAACACAATTTATGCATAGAAATGTTTATCTTCTAGACAGAAGTGTTGGGTATCTTCTGTCCTGCTGATAAAGTTGATGATATAACTGGATGGTATTTCCAATAGGAAGGGCAATGCAATATTTAAGGTACTCCTGTTTGCTTTATCACTATAGATAACGTTTGTGTGCACTTACTTGGTTTTGCAGTATGTAATTCCTTTTTTAAAAAAAATTTAAGCATATAAAGACTGACTTCAATAACTTTAGACTTTGTATCAGCAAAGTGATGATTGTATTCTCACAACTGTCATACCAATTGAATGACTTTTTCAATGCTAACGTATATTTTAATTCTTGGGGGGTGGGGAGGAGAGTTCATATCTAGATAAAACTCAGCTATTTTTCTTAAACACTTTAATTTTTTTTACTATATATTTATTATAAGGGACCCCTTCCCACAGGTCCCTTGTCTTTGCAACCAAAGTGAAGTGTTTGTGCAATTATAACCCTTAACTCAGTGGCAGACATTCAATATATGCTTATTGAAGGAATTAATCATTTATTTACATTATTACTAGACTTAATGTCTTGGAAGGTTGGTACATTCTGTTACTAGTAAAGTGTCTGTCACACATTGATATTAAAAGTGTTTGGCTTGAGGAAAGGATATATAAAGCATACAGGCATTTGCTTCACCTCACAGCAGTTTTAAAAATGTGGAATAGTTAATTTGCACATTCAAAACTTTAACATTTAAAATTCAGGTAGGAGCTGGAAAAAAACACACCTAGTTGTCAAAAGTAGCAGTTTCTTTTAGGCATATCCAGAATATATTCCCATGGTAATGAGATTTTCTGAATTCCTAAAGAAATAAGAGAAACAAGACAGGATTTAAAAACTAGTTTTACATTGGTCTCTTTTACAGTCTTCTTTGCCTAAACAAAGAAGAAATTGAATGTTGAAGACAAACATTTTGATTAGCTTTTAACTAAAGAAGCCAAAAGCTTCCAAACAAATCTCTAATGAAAATAGTTTTTCAAGTTGTTCAGAGAGTATGTTCTAGTTTCATTCTCAATCAAATGTATTTAAGGTCAGCTGATACTTAAAAGAATTGTAATCTAATTACATTTAAAAAATGAAGTATCCCTTTGCATAATTTCTTTTTCATTGCTTAACTGTTAATTTAAAGGTATATATGGGATCCTGAGGCATTAATCTAACTTCTAAACAAAGAATGGTAGTGTATTTTAAAGTTAGTAAGTTTAAAAGTTTGGGTCAGAAAATTCAGATTGGTGTTCTTGCCAGTAAAAGTAATTTGTTAGCCATATTTTATGTTTGAATTGACCATTTCATTTATATGTATATTATTTTATATCACATCTCTCCATTTAATTTTAAAGAATTAAAATTTTTTAATAAAGAGCAAAGAAATGTAAGGAAAGTTAGAATAAAGAGCAAAGATAGGTCTTTGAAATTTCAGTTTCAGCTATGAAGTAGGCATTCTATACTGTGTTTCATCAGGAACAATGCAAAAACATCTCATAGACATTTGTTGTGGCAGATAAATTCTATTAGTTAAGAACTTACTTAGTAATTGAATTTCAGTTTTCAAACTTCATAGTTTTCCATAAGTAGACTGTTATGTTTATAGTTTTAGACCTTTGTTTTTCACTATTGAGATCTAACCTCAATGCTTCTAAAGTAAAACACTTCTAAAGTAGTAAAGCAATTTCTAAAAATGGCTTAGGAGTTTGAATTGTGTAAGGATTGAAACCTTTTAGTTTTAAGGTGTTTTTTTTTTTTTACCCCCCATAACGCAACGGTACTGAAAATAAAATGACAATGAATATTTATTTGCAATCTTAATTATTTACTCAGCTTGCCCCCACGCCCCCAATCTCTAAATGGGGATACCAACAACGTTAATTTTAAGGACTTGTTCCCTTAAGGAAATGTAGAGAAGATCATTGTGAAACTTATGCCTCAAAGATAAGTGATTGTGGCTTCTGAACTGCGGAAGCAAGACATACACCTGTTCTGGGTGGCAGGGAACACACTTACTCCCTTTGGTTTTTGGTTCATTCTCTGACTCTTTGGAGCTCCTCAAAATATAGGACTTCATCAGAAAGCCCAGGTCAGAGTGAAAACTCAAAGGCTGCTATGTAGTACTCAATTGCTAAATTTACACGCTCCCTTGTGTTAAAGAAGATACTTCAAGAAGTTTCCCCGTCTTGATACTACTCACAGCAGCTGTGGCTATATACTGATTTGACACCTGGTGAAGTTGTAGTTTCTAGTAGAAAAACATTTAGACTTGACACCTGTCACTGAAATTTTTTACAAACTTTTCAAAGGCAAGCTAGAAACCCCTGATAGACTAAGTACCTAATATTGTTAAAAGAAACTGGTTAAAGAGTTACAATTACTAGACCTAAAGAAGTCTGGCTAAAATAATTTGAATCTGACTTTCCAGGACTTTCCAGGTTTCCCCTTCTGTTGGGAATTCCAACAAGTAAAATGAAGCTTAAATTTAAAAGACAGAAAAAAGAAATTGAAAATCACAAAATAGTGAAAAAACAGCAAAGTTAGTCGTTAGTAGAAAGCCTTGGGCACCTGTCATATTGCTTGTCTGCTTTTCTCATTGAATCCCTAGGGGTACTTATTAAATGCTTTCACTACAGTATAATTAAGTGTCTGAACATGGTCGTCTTGACCCTCCAGGAAATTCCAGGTATATAAAAGCTGGATTAAAAAGCAAAACACTTGACTTTATGGGTTGCATTAACAATCATGTATTTATCAAATTACATAGTAACACGTGTTCAGATTTATCTTGATCGTCGAAGCAAAGATGATCCCTTGCTGCAAAAGTCTTGCCGCACTTCAACCACACTCTCTCGGCTCCTGGGCAAACCGCTGGACCTAGCCCACTCCGCAATCAGGAAATTATTCAGATCTGGGTTCAGTTCATAGATCACTTCTTGTTGATGCAGTACTTGAATAAAGCTCCTTTCCTGCCCGGAGAAAGACACTCGACGGAGCACAACTCCTTCGTCGGTTTGGCGCATTCCGGGGTACCCCTGCTGATGGGTTCCCCCAGGCTTGGCCGTCTTCGCGCCACCACCCCGCGTGGGGCGCCTGGGCACCGTGACGTCACTGCGGAGACGGGTCGTTGCTGCGAGACAGCCGCGTTCCGGTTCCGGTCAGTTGCCCTGGAGACGCGGGTACACAGAGAAACGGATCCAAACGGAGGACGAGTGTCGCGGCGGCAGCTCTCTCTGCGGACTTGCAGGCTGGGCGCCGACGAGTTGCTGTCACCGCCAAGTATCTTAAGGGCAGAGCGCAGCTGCGGGCGCCATGAGTCAGAGACAGGTGCTGCAAGGTATGGCCAGGGGCTGGCGAGCGCTTCGACGGGCTGGCGACGGGGGCGGTGGAAGCAGCGGGGGCGACAAGGACAACGCTAGTGGCCCGCTTCACTTTATCTTTGCTCCGCAGTGTTCGAACAATACCAGAAAGCCCGGACCCAATTTGTGCAGATGGTGGCGGAGCTGGCGACCAGACCCCAAAACATCGAGACACTTCAGAACGCGGGTGAGCCCTCACCCTTAATCGCTCTCCGTGTTGCCCTGTGCCTCTGACTTCTCCCCGGCCCCACAGCCTTTGGCTCCCTTTGCTCCGCGTACCCGGCCCCTGGTTTCCCCTCACCTCACCCGCGCCCCTGTGGAATGAACGGTTGGTGACCGGTAAAAGGGGTGGTGGGACGGCATCCTTTAGTTTTTACAATCTCTTGGAGACTGTAGGGCGTATGCACCTGGCCCGTTGAGTGTGATGGAGTCCTGGTGTGGCGCTGTAGGTTAATGCGCTGGGCTGCAAGGTCAGTTTGAACTGCAAGGTAGGCGGTTCAAGTAAAGATTCAAGATTAGGGTGATAGGGGCCCCAAGTTCTTATTTCCGTCTGTATTGCAACCATGCAGATGTCAGGATGGAATTTAATGCTGTATGATTTGCCTGGAAGTCATTTTGTGTGAATGGGAATATACCCTAATTAGGCCCATTTTTTGTACGGGGGCGTAGTTACAAGTCACCCTGCCTTTGGTCACCTTCGACTTCCTCACAGCAAAGGAATTCCAATGTGGTTGATACTTTATTTCTTACCTTGCGTTAGTGAGAGATGAATGATATGTTTAATTTTTTTGAAAATTGATTCAAAGGAGCTAAGGAACTGGTTTTGGGAGATCCCCTGGGTCTTTCATTCTATTCCTCAATCCGATTTCATCCAGATTTCTTAGGGAATGTGTGTGTATGTGTGTACACGTATGTATACTTTGCATCTTATTAACATAAATGGATTGAGAAAATTATAGTGGTTTTCAGTTATCCATATATGATTCAGGATATATAATTCTTACTATCTCAAAGTAAGGTACTGTGTCATTTTAAGGTAACATTTTAAGGCTACAGTGTCATGAAGAAGATACCCTAGTGGCACAGTGGTTAAAACACTTGACGATTGAACCTACCAGCTGCTATGCTCGAGAAAAATGTGGCAACCTGCTCCCATAAAGATTGACAGACTTTAAAGCCCTACTTTACTTACTGGACGATTCTACTCTGCCCAATAAGGTTTGTATGAGTCAGAATGACTCAAAGGCAAAGTGATTAGGTTTTGGTTCCATGAGAAATCTTCAGTTTATAGGATATTATCTTTAGACTGCACTTAAATTAGCATAGAATGAAAAGGAAATGAAAACACATTCAGGGCAAGAATGTTTGGGCATAAAGTTTCCTCTGGGTTTCTTAGAGGGAAATTACCACTACACCTCTGTGATCTTTTGTTTTGTCGCTGGAAATTTGTTGTTCATTTCCTATATTTGGGATGGGGGGAGCTTACCTTAAAAAGAAGGCAGTGTATTTGATTTTCCGAAAAACTCCTGCGCAGCGATCTTTGAGAATGGACATTTATTATTCATAAGTCTTGACTTTGTTGACAGTATAGATGCACTTGAACTAAAACATTTTTTTAAAAGCTAATGTCTGCAATGAAATAATTGCTGCTCTTTCAAAAATCTAATACTGAAATATTAAGATACAGGTAACATTTAAGATAGGAAGCAATCACTCTTTAGCATAATAAGTATCAGGTTACCTCTTCCCTTAAGTGTATAATGTACACAGATTATACTATGGAATTTATTCAGACCAAATAGACTGATTATCAGAGCATAAGTGATTTAGAAATAGCCAGCTATTTCCACTTATGGTGTGGCCTATTAAAGGTTAGACTAGAAAAGGACTATAACTTAGTGTTTTATAGTTATCTGTACTTGATTTGATGGTATGCTGAGATTTTTCTTTTCCTCAGGGACCTACTATATATATTTCATATTACCTAAATTAAATTCAAGTGTGCCCTTAGTAATATAAATTATTGTTGTTGTTGTTAAGTGCCGTCGAGTCGGTTCCGACCCATAGCGACCCTGTACAGGGTTTCCAAGGGTGTAAATCCTTACGGGAGTAGAAAGCCTCATCTTTCTCCCACGGAGCGGCTGGTAGTTTCGAACCGCTGACCTTAAGTTTCGCAGCCCGATTCGTAACCACTATGCTACCAGAGCTCCTTAGTAATATAAATAGATAATGAATATTCCAATAGAATTATGCATTTGATTTAAAAATTAACCTATACGTTTTGTTATAAAAACTTTTCCTTCCCATTGGTCAATTAATTTCATCATTTAAATGATTTGTTCTTTAAAGAAAAAAAAAATCACCATGGATTTAAAATTGTTGCCAAATGAGTCACAATAGATGTGTATCTACTATATTTTAGGATCAAGATAATTTTTTCCAGGCAGGTGCTTTCATTTGGCAGTGTAAAATACATTTTAGTCCTTATTTAAACACATTATCAACATATCTGGAAAGTTTTGTTTCTTATTTTCTGAAACTATTTGGAGTCCTGATGTGGTGCTGAGTGTTAATGCACTGGACTGCAACACTCCTCGGAAACCCTATACAGGGTCACTATGAGTCAGAACTGACGTGATGGCACTTAACAGCTTAATAACAATAAACTATTTATGTACAATATGTAACATAGATTCAAGATAATGTGAAAAACATTTTCTGGGATGATCTAACCAATAGTTTACTTGTTAAGAATTCATTCAGTATGTTAAGAACATTAAAGGTAAAAATTATCAATGGGATTTTATTTCATTTAAAATCTCTGATTCTTTTTATTGAAATTTGGTGTCCTGGTGTGGCGCTGTGGAATAATGCACTTGACCTAAAGGATGTTTTGAACTGTAAGGTTGGCGGTTCAAATTCACCAGCTGTTCTTTGGAAATCCTATACTGGGTTGCTATGAGTTGGAACCAACTCAACAGCACTTAACAACAAAAAAAAGAATGGGAGTAGGATGGCTCTATATGATAAGCACTGGACTGTGAACCACAAGGTCCTTGGTTTGAGTCGCCAGCCACTCCATGGGAGAACTTCTGCTCCTGCAAAGATTTAAAAAACCTTGGAAACCTTAGTAGGGTCGCTGTGAATCAGAACCCACTTGAAGGCACATAACAATAAAACAAAAATAAGAGCATTCGCCTTATTGTGCAAGTTTAATAGGAAACCCAAAGCAAACAAAATTTTGGAAAATCTGTTATTCAGAGTTTTGAGGCAAGAATGAAATTAATGATTTCTAATCAAACTTGTTACTAGAAAGTACAGTGTACAATGTGCATTAAGTCTTGAGTTTTTGTTTACTTTTATTGAGTTCAATTTTTGTCCTTTTGTGAGCAAACCATTTATAAAAGCATTTAAAAGTTTAGTGTTTGTTATAAAACCTCTTTATGTACGCTCAAAACCTGTGTGTGTGAGCCATCCGTTCATTACATCTTGTAGCTGTTTAAGAATGAATTTTGATACTTCCCCATTTGAATAATCAGTAATAGATGACTGTACTAGGAAAAACAGTATGTTGTTACTTCTACCAAGTATAGAATTCCAGTAATTGGAGGTAGTTGGTCTTTATAAAAGAATTTTGGTATATGCTAGAGTATCTTTGAAATCTGTTATAAGTGCTTATTAGGAGCTTTTCCTTCTCATTGAATATTGAGATGATGGATAGCTAAACACCAATGGAAGCAGCAATCAAGAAATCAAACCAGATATTGCACTGGGCAATTCTGCTGCAAAAAGACCTCTTTACAGTATTAAAAAGCAAAGATGTCACTTAAAGAACTAAAGTGTGCCTGACCCAATCCATGGCATTTTCAATTACCTCACAGCTGGATTGCAAGGTTGGTTTGAACACAGGCTTGGCAGTTCATGCTCACCTGCCACTCCTCGGAAACCCTAGACAGGGTCACTATGAGTTGGAACCGACTCAATGGCACTTAACAACACCAACAAATGTATGTGAATTTTGGACAGCAAATAAAGAAGACCAAAGAAGAATTGATGCCTTTAAATTACATTGTTGGGGAATATTAAATATATCATGGACTGCCAGACGAAGAAACAAATCTGTCTTAGATTAGTTGTTGTTGTTGTTGTTGTTGTTAAGTGCCATCAAGTTGATTCCGACCCATAGCGACCCTATATAGGGTTACCAAGGAGCAGCTGATGAGCTTGAACCACCGACCTTGCAGTTCAAACGACTTTGCAGTCTGATACATTAGCCCACAGTGCCACACTAGGACTCCTTAGAAGAAGTACACCTAATATTCCTTAGACTCAAAGATGGTAAGACTTCATCAAGATACTTAGGGAATGTTATCAGGAGGACCAGTCCCTAGAGAAGGGCATCATACTTGATAAAGTAGAGGATCAGGGAAAAAGAGGAAGACCCTCGCAGTGGCTGCAGCAATGAGCTCAAACGCAGTAACAATTATGAGGATGTCTCAGGGCTAGGCAGTGTTTTCTTCTATTGTACGTGGGGTCGCCATGAATCAGAACTGACTTTCAGCATTTATCACAACAAGTAGTTAATCTGAGGATTTTCACCCCACTCACGACACATGTAATTTAAAATCATTTTATACCAACAATATATATTAGCTGTTTTCTTGAATCTTGAACCCATTAAATTACCTCAATCATGCATATTAACTTAAAACAGATATACATGTAAAGGATAAAGTAAAGCAAACTTCCTACCCGTCTGAAAATGTGCAGAGCTACAATTTGCTGTGTTTTACAATTGTATATATTATATGGACTCCTGGTGTGACACTGTGGGTTAATACCCTAGACTGCAAAGTCGGTTTGAACTGCAAGGCCGGCTGTTCAAGCTTACCTGCTGCTCCTTGGGAACCCTTTACAGGATCACTATGGGTCGGAATGGACTCGACAACACTTAACAACCACAAATAGATTCTATGTAAAGAATTGGAGTCCTGACATGGTACTGTAGGCTCAGTACTGGACTGCTAACCTCAAGATCAGCTGTTCAAAACCACCAACTATTCACTGGAAACCTATATAGGGTCGGTATGAGTTGGAACCAAATTCATGACACACACAACAACAACAACATCATATGTAAAAGATTAGAGAGTACCATTTTAAACTCTCAATTTTCTTATATAAATA